TGATGGAAATTCGCCCATCATCTGCTATGGTTTGCAATATCGGCAAGCAGGTTTGTGGAAAACCCATCCATTCGTTTCTTATACCTATATGCATCCAAAGAGATGGCTCCGCGTACTGTATATACGCAGGTTCTAACAAAAGTTCTCGGAATAGAAATGAAAATGGCATATAATCGAGCTGGAAAAAAAGTATTCTTTAGGGAGAACATGTTCTTTTGGCACACAAAAATCAGCCCTGTGTGACCAATTTTTTTGAATGTTTTGCAAAATTCACCCTGGCAGAGTTTTGCAAGATATTCAAAAAAATTTGTCGCACAGGGCTGATTTTTGTGTACCAAAGAATATGCATTCCCTAACGAATAATTTTTTAAAAATGGTTCCGCGTACTGTATATACGAGGGTTCAAACAAAAGTTCTCGGGATAGGAATGAAAATGGCATATAATCGAGCTGAAAACAATTTATTCTTTAGGGAAAACATATTCTTTTGGTACACAAAAATCAGCCCTTTGTGCATGGCCAACTTTTTTGAATGTTATGCAAAATTCACCCTGGCTGAGTTTTGCAAGACATTCAACAAAATTTGTCGCACAGGGCTGATTTTTGCGTACCAAAAGAACATGTTTTCCCTGAAGAATACATTTTTTTTCTGCTCAATCATACGCCATTTTCATTTCTATTCCGAGAACTTTTGTTGGAACCCTCATAAGTTGTTGGCCCATCGCCAAGAAAGTACCTTCTTATTCCTCAGTGAACGCGAAAGTGAATTTCTGGTTCTTCACAGATCAAGTGGAATGGCAAGAAGTGGCCATGAACATCGACCACGAATTCTTCTGCATGCGAAACCTGATCCCGGTGACCTCTTACGAATTCAGACTGCTTGCGCAAAACGCTTTCGGCTGGAGTCCGCCGGGACTCACGTCTGGAATTTTCACAACAAAGGCCGAAGGTGATCATCAGAGACCAGTTCAAAATCTTCCACTTTTTCTAATACCATCTTGAAAAAAGCTTTGACTTTTGAAAGCTTGATAGTTAAAGAGTCAAAGCCTTGAAGCAGGACATGAGGTCACAACAATTTAGCAAGTTTTTGAGTCAGAATAAAGATCATTCGGTGGACTTTTTTACATCAACGGAGCTTCGTCTATCCAAAAGAATAAAATTGGATCGAATTATTTGTGAATTTCTTTTTTCAAGAATTCCAGGAAGTAGCAGGAAACCTGATGGGACACAGTTTTCCGATCAAAAAAGGAGAGAAAAGTTTAAAATAAATATAATTGAACATGCATAACTCAAACCTCCCTGAGTAAAACTTTTTTTAGTCCCCGTCTGAATTCCCTTCAAAACAATGCGATAAAAATATCCCTGACTGGAAGCCTTTTCCTCTCAAACCCACCTAACTCTAATTTTCTGAGGCCGTTCAGCAAGTATTTTCTTGCCACAACAAAGAAAAGCGCAATTGAAAAAAGTCAACTTGATGCGTTTTGAAAGGAAGTGAAAGACTCATTGGGCAAATGAACCCTTCCTTACAAGTTCAGCATCGTCCTTTCAACTCATTTAAAAATCAATTCAAGGCCCAGAATATCACCATTTTACAATTTCCAGCAATTCTTCTACCTTTCCCACAACGAAAATGCTTGTTTTCCTGACTCAAAACCTCAATAACTCGAAACCTCGGTAAGTCAACGTTTATTTCCTGGTCCTTCCAAATGTAGCTTATATATTAGATAGGTTTATCGCACTGTACTGTATATCGCACATTTCAACACACAGTCGCCATTTTCGAAACTCTCGACGTTTATTTGGACTGTTCCTCGAAAAATTCAAAATTTCTTCGGGATACGTTTGAATAGCAACACTTTCTTCGTACAATGATGACAAAATTTAGGTCAACTACTTCTGCCCCAGCTCTTTTTTGGTTAAGGTCTTTGTAATTAGTAAAGGAAGGCTCGTCGTCGTCGTCATTATACCTCAGTACCAAGGTTCGTTTCAGGTGCCCCAAAGGTCAAAGTGTCTCGGGCAATGAAGCACCTGCAGCTTCTCACAGAGAAGGGCTTTGAGATTGAGGACGAGAACAAACGACCCCCTCTGGATTACTCCATTGAAGAGAATCCTGTGCCATTTTCCGAAGGGGACCCGAAGGAGAAGTATCACTTTATTGCCGAATTGGACAGGTGAGTAATTCGCATATAAATTGGCTAATATCGGGCTGACATAAGGTGTGCTCCCATTAGTCCGCTTTATTAGAAATTCAGAGGGCTTCATCTTGAGAAAAAATTGCACGTGAATGCATTTCAAAGCTTTCACTTTTTTTCCAGTTAGGACTGAGAATTCTAGACCATGGTACCATTCGAGGTGATAAAAATCAGATTACCAGCCAAACTTGAACTTATAAACATTTTCAGGCTGTATAAATGCTGTCTAAATATTTCAACGATGCAATAAATATTCCCAGTGACGTATTTTCACGTTTATAATAACCCTGTTAAAGGTCTGATCTCACCAATTTGCATGGCAATGTTTTAAACATTGAAGCCAAACTTGAATTTTTAA